GGAGCACCCTTGCCATGTTTGTTACTTGTGCCAGTGCTCCTCGTGCAGAAGGCACAAGACAGGCGTGTTAAATAGCATGAGTCCCTAATCCCTAGCAGGCCAGCAGGATGACTATAGACGTTTGGTAGGACTTTCCAGTATATGGTAGGAAGTTCTCCAGCTAGGTTTGCTGTTTATAATTCCTCCAGCTAAGAACTGCATCTCGGATTCCTTGTAGATATTCTGAGTTGTGTGTTTTAAGGTAGTCATGTTAGACTCCATTTCTCTAGTGCTATGGTTGCCATTAGTAAAATTGTCTCCATAAGTTACCAAGAAAGAGACAGTAAAAGAAATGTTAACAATTTCTTGAGAACTAGTAATGAGATATAGAAAGATAGAAAGATAGAGATAGAAAGATAGATAGATAGATAGATAGATAGATAGATAGATAGATAGATGAGAGAGAGAGAGAGAGATAGAGAGATATATCTATAGTTACATATATGACTATATAACTATGATATATAGTTGCATGAAGTGAAAATAAAGGAGAAGAAAAATGGGACTAAGCCAAAATAATCTATAGAAAACATTAAATGATTGCATGACTACCACTCAGCTTAAGAACTTCAATGACATTGCACTGTAAATGATAACCATGTTCAAGCAAATCTGAAGCTCTCTTTTGAGAACTGTAACTGCTATTCTTTATCTGGTCTCAGCCACAAAAACCATAGTCTGGAGCTACTGCTTACTCTTCAGGAAGGGTTTCTGAGCTTTCAAAATTACCACACTCATAAGAGGAAACTGAGGGAGACAGTTTGTACTTCAGATGAGAGTTCAGAAAGTAAATCCAAGGATGTGGGTAATATTGAGTTAGATAGGAGTTTCATTGATTGAATAATCTATAGCTGCAGAAAGTAGAGCTATTTTTCTACTGAGTTTCACTTATCTGACTTTCTTCTGAGGCAAGCTTTTATGGGGTACATCTATCAGATTGGACACAGAGGCACAATGCTCATCGGCGTATGTCCATTAAACTATAATGAAACTACAATGTAGGTAGCACTTCAACTGTCTTATTTTTATATGCTTTAAGTTTATATCATTATCTTCAGGTACTTTCATTCTTTAGTACATCTGCAGCATACTAAACTTTGTAGCAGATAACTACATCAAAAAAAAGGGATAGAGTTTTGATAGGAATATGTGTTTTTCTCAATTGATGATCTAGGCTGGAGTCCCAGCCTCAGTCACAAGCCACAAACTCCCCAAACTTCAGGAATTTTATTAAAAATTCATAAGACAGGTTAATTAAACTCTGCTGTTATTTTCTCTCTTCCCTTGAGCTCCCTGGAGTGGGCTCACTGGAAAGATCCCATCACTTAGGCATTAGGCACTCATTTGGGACACGGCAGATGTGGAATCCAGTCTGTGCTCTAATTTACAGAGAAAGGATTGTCTTATGGTCTCCTAAATAGCAGGGGACTATGTTAATATCTAATCTATAATCTTCCTTCTCAAGTAATAGTAACCGAGGCCCAGGGAATGTTTTCATCATTTTGACGGACTCATAATTTTTGTTACATTTCCCCCCAATCTGGGAAATGGCAGCTTTCAACAAGCAAATGATTTGCCAACCAAAAAATAAAAATAACAAACAGCCCTGAAAAAGTACCTATTGCTTGTTTTGCCAGCAGTTTTGCAAAAGGAAAATTAAAGACCTGATTTAAGTCCCTTAATAGATTTCAGTAGGGAGTGTACTTGACTTTCTGGCTTCATCATCAACCCAAAATTTGTTTTCAGAAAATTGAATGGGCTTTAGTTGCACAAATACCACTCTCATGCATATGAGTTCTATGGCTAAAACAAAAAATGGCTTTTACAGAACACCTTCTCTTCTTTAGTTACAGACTTTTTGGCTGAGTTTCATGCTGTTGGCATGTTGCATGTAAATAAGTTGTTCATCTACTGTTGCTCATCCATCAGCCTACAGCATACTGTACTCCAGCTTTGTGCTTAGTAAAAACGAAGCTCACAGGTAACTGCTTATTAATAATTAATTAATCATGGCTGCACTTTCAGTCTCATTGTGAACAATGGCACAAGTTCCACTGGCTTGACTAGGGGTAGGTTTTGGCCTGTTAAAATGATTCATATGAATCTTCTCACGCTCACCAGGCCATCAGCAGATTTGGCAATGCCCTGTGTGCCAAGTGTGCTGCATTTCACTGGTGCATCTGCTTGATGGGCTAGACAATGACTGAGTTGGAAGCAGGGGTTATCTGTAGAAACAGTCACAGATTTCCGTATCCACAGATTCCTCCCTGGACCCACGTTCTCCACATACTATCTTCTGGCCATCCTTAGTGGAGGGGAGTGTCTCAACCCACATAACTGCTCTGACAATGCCCATTGGGGTCTGAGGGACCTCTCCAGGGGGTGGCATTGGTGCATCCTGGGGACAGGGCCTTTCTTAGTCACACTGCTTCCTTAAATTATTCCACCAAGGTTGTTCTCTTTCAGCCAGGACTTTCTTGCCGGCCTTGCACAGCTCATGTAGGCACCAGTCCAGGTCCAGTTACTGAATCCTGCCTCTGTTTCTGTTTCCATGATGTTGAGAACTGCTTCCTCAGGCCTTTTCTGATGTTCCAGAAAAAAAAATGAAGCCCCCTAGGAAAGGGTTAAATGCTTCATTGATTAAATAATGTGTGGCATGTTTACATATTTATATTCAAAGCATTTCAAAATTTGCTCTTTCTCTCAAAAGAACAATAGCAACAACTGCTCTTCCAAATGTAAAATTTCCAGTCCATCACTTCTGTTACCACATCATTCCATCCTGCAGATTTCCAGTTTGATTGCTGTTAAAGGTTGAAGAAGTTTAAATTGACCTTGACCTGCAAACATGTGATTTACAGTAGATGATATTGTTCTGGAAAAACAAAACTTCTGTCCTGAAGCTAAACTGCATTTAATGATTAATAGTACTTCTCCTGGGCCAAGTTCTGGCATGTTTACTAACACTGTATATTATTTTAACTCCTCCTGAAGCTCCATTGATTTTGGAGGCACTCTTCCAAAGTGAGGCAGATTCACAATATGAATAAATATACGAATATATGGTTTTCTAATATATTATCCTGATTTTGAAGATAAATTCTTTGATCACTTCTAACCTTGTCTTCAGATTGTTTGTAAAGTCCTTACAAATTATTCAAGCATATTTTAAAAATGCACAGATATTGCCTGTTTTCTTAAAAAGAAATCCCTACTGGCAATATCATGAGATATTGGAATAGAATATGTATGTTTGTCCTGGAAGAAAAAAAGTTATCTTTCTGCTTTCTAAATTATGAAATATGTTCTTGTTGGAGACTTTAATGGAGTAGGGTTAAACTCACAGGGAATTATACAAGTAATTGTAAAACTGTGAAAGAATATCCTTCTAGTGTCCCTGTGAAGCTTGAAAGTTTGGAACAATGTGTGTTAAAGAGACAAAACTGGCATTGCAGTGTTGCTGGTACTATTGGTACCTTTTATCTTTTTTGGCATGTCTTTATGAAACAGCAGAGAAAGAAAAATATTAAATTGAACACAGCAAATTTAATTATAAAACAAAGCCACCCACCTTGCTGTCAGGGTCAGGAAGTATAATCGCCTCCTTCTGACGCAAGAATGAGTTTAGCAACATATGTTAAATGAACAATTATTTAAAATAGAAGGAAATTGCCTTAAAAACAACTGCAGTATCTCAGACTGTAGCACTGCAGCAGTGCAGAAAAACAGTCCATTGTGGAAGGCACATGCACAAACAAGAGCACTCCTACAACCCTGTGCCGCGACAAAAGCTTTGCTTTTGGCAAAAGCAAAAACCAATAATTTCACAGAATGCTCTTAAATATCTCACTTGTATTTGATCTCAGCAGCTTGTTCTGCTTTTGATTTTTTTAATGTTTGTTTATTTTGGTCTTTCTTTTTTCAGTGTAATTATTTGTTGGCTGCATGACTAAATCCTAACGCCCAAAGCCACTGTTTGCTGCACAATGGCACGATGACATTGGGTGTTTTCCAGTAAATTGTGTTTCGCTGAGTGTCGCAAGCAGCGGAAACACCGAGCAAGCGCGTCAGCAATAGATGCACACCTAAGAAGAATAAAAAGAAAAGATCTTTTTTCACCAGAATAAATCCATTTCTCTTGAAAGCACCGGGAGTCACCTGACCGAGCCCGGAGCCTCCAGGATAACACAGCGCCAGCCTGCAATGGGAAAGAAATTAAGCAGGGCTGCCTCCGCCTCGCACACGCCTTTTAGCCTGTCGACGCGTTGCCTGTCCGTATCCCTCACAGCGCATCTGTAGAGCCATTAAATTGGATAATCCCTCTGGCCTTTGATACATTTCTGGACATGATTATTTCATTACTCGCAGTATATCAGTAGGATCATAATAAAAAGGACTTCTGACAACCTGCCAAGAGTTTTGTGGCCTTGTAAACACAAAAGTGCTCTAATAAAATTTTATTAAGTGTTAAAAAGTCATAAAAAGTGAAATAACATAAACTACAAAATTTACTGTCCTCAGCAAATGCTGAAAATATCGTCCATAGTAAAATTAAATTAGCATGTAATAGCGCAGCAGCGTGGAGTGGGCTTGAAAGAGGATCCAGGAGGGGAAAAAAAAAGGCGAGGGGTGGGGGGCGGAAAAGAAAAAAAAGAAAGATCGCACTTGAACTGAGCGCGGGTCACGGGGGTTCGTTTACGGCGATCCCCGCGTGTCCCGCGGGCCGCGGGGACGGGCGCGGCGCGCCGCCAGGCGGCGCTGTGGGAGCGGGAATGCGCCGGGCCCGCGCCGCGACCCCCGCGGGCCGCCGGGAGCGCCCCCCGCCCCAGAAATGAGCCATTTACGGGGATTTTGGCGTCTTCTTGCAAATCAAAAAAAAAAAAAAATGGTACGAGGGAAACAATACGGGTATATCTGGGCTGGAAGGCTCCTGGCGGGGCAGGCAGCGCTGAGCGGGCTCCCGACGGCTTCGGCCTCGCCGCCGCCCCGGCTCCCCCGCGCCCGGCGCAGGGCGTCCCGTGCCGGGGGCGGGCGAGGCTGCCGAGAGCGCTCGGCCTCTGCGCCCCCGGCAGCGCAGCAGCCAGGTGAGTTCAGCCTTTTCTTCGCATCCGTGCTGCCCAGGGAGAAGGCACGGTCGAGACGGGACCGGGCGAGCATCGCCGCACACAGCCGCGGCGGGGCGGAGGACACAGCGGGACGGGACGGGACGGGACGGGACGGGACGGGACGGGACGGGACGGGACGGGACGGGACGGGCTAGGCTGCCGCCTCTCGCCGTGCTCCCCCGTGCCGTGCCGGCCGTCCTTGCCCGTGGGAAGGGGCTACGCTTGTGTCCCGGCTGCCTCGGGCCGGCAGCGCCCGGTTGCTGGGGTGCGGGCATTGAGGGAGCAGGCGAATGGCGATGCCAGGCTCTCCGGGCATCGCCTCCCCCTCGGGGTGTCCGTCCCTTGATGCTCCGCCGGGATTTGTTGTGGCTGGCCGGGAAGGAAGCGACCACGCTGCTGTCACATGGAACCGCTTGCCAGAGCCGCCCGAAACTTAATGCGGGAGGGGGGAGAGAGAGGGAGGGGGGAAAGAGGGAGGGAGGGGAGGAATAGTAATAAAACAAGGAATGTGTGGTTAGAAGATAGTTTAAGTTTCGTTTTATTCAGGTGGGGAGGATAGCCGCTTCTCATGTGGCAAGGCTGATGTTCAAGGCCGCTGTACGAAAAATAGCGACTCGCTGCCTAAGCCCGGCTTGTCTTTGAGCCTGAGCTGCTGCTCGCTGAAGTGCAGCCGGAGCAGCCCCGGCGGGGAGCGGGCAGTGAGGGCTCCGTAAGGGAAAACTCAGCATACATGAGCAGGAGCAACGAGCCTCCTTCTCACTAAGGGGGGAAAAAATCCCCACGAAGTTAGTTTTAGCAGAAATTCCAAGAACTCTGCTCATTTCAGTCGCTTTAAATCTCTACACTGTGTCTTAAGGCAGAGTTACAAAGAAAAAAGAGAAACAGTATTGTTATTTATTTTGAGACGTCTGAAATAACGAGAAAGTTGTAGGTTTAGTATAGAGCAGTGCTTGCTATAGCTCGGCTGCCATGAATTAAGGCTAGTTTCTAAAAATAGCTATTTCTGTTTGCACATAATTGGCTCGGTGCATGTGCAAACCATACAGCCTTCAAATGTATATTTATCTCACTGATTCAAAACTTGTAATGTTTTGTATACGCCTTATGTTCCTCACCTCTGATTAAGACAATGAGGGTATTACTTGGTAATTTATTATACTTTTACTGACAAATTACAGAAATAAAATACATTTGGAAAAGGAGCGAAACACTTCATTTTCTTCCATCTCAGATTTTTATATAAATCTTCCATAATTTTACAGTAATGACTGCAGTTACTAATGCTCATAGAAAGTTGTACCTTTTAAGCAGAAGAAAACAACCATGTCACACTGTCTACTGCATTTTTTAAAAATCTGAGCTTTACACCATCCATAGGAACACACACGTTTTCAATGAAAGCTAAATAATTGATTTTTTTCTATCTAATTAAATTTTAAGTCTTCTCTCCCCAAATATAATGTAAAGGCTGCAAAAATGCAAACAGAAAGTGTAGCAGCACTGTGATCAAAGCTTTGAACTTAGATGAATTAAAAAGTCAGCAAAGCACTACAGAATTCCACATACATGTGGCTAAGGTGTGTGCACGACTGCATAACTTTGAAGAGTTTTTATGTTAAATGAAGGGGTTTGGAGTTATCTTGCTTTACCAAAAGACTTTCCAGGATCAATGCTAATATTTGTTGGATTTTAGAAACATTCCTGGGAATTCCCTCTTTAGGCTATGGTGAGCGGATCACTTTTCTTTTTAAATATGTTCTTAAAAACATAATTCTGTCATCTGGCTGATCAGCTGTTTGCTATTTTGTTTTGCTCCCTGCCTGAGCAGGTACTTGTACAGTATCACAACATGAAGAATCGCATTTGCTCCCCAGGGTTTACAGACAGGACTCGGGGTACGTGTTTATGAGTGCAGCATATGGGTTTCTGTGGTAAGAGAAGCATTTTTCCTAAATTTAGCATTCTAATTTGTGATGGGTGATTTTGAGTATGCAGCACTACTTCCATAACGGAATTTTTATATCAGCTTAATGTGACGTAAAATTTAAAAGCTAAAGATACGCCAGGCGACTGTAGGTTATGTTTAAATGGAGATAATAAAGGTTCAATGTGCAAAGGTCTGACGCTGCCTTAGACAGGGCTGGCGCTCCTGTTGCTCACATCCAGCTCCATCCCCGGTCGTTCAGGATCCGCCACTGCCTCGCAATTCCAGCTGTGACAAGCTCTGCCTAGGGAGGCTTGCAGCCTGCCTGTCAGAAGGGCCTCAGAGGGCGAGGGAGGAAAGCCCAGTTGCAGCAGAGTGCAGTACTTGCAGTAGGCAGGATGGAAATTATCTGGGCTCCGCGACTGGGGCTGCACATGTGGCACTTTTCTGGCAGGGTTTCTTTACATGCTTGCAGAATTTAAAGGCATGCACTGTCCAACAGAGGCCTACCTTGCAATACATTAACCAGATCTTTCTAGGTTGATTAATAGCTTCAGTCTTTTGTTGATGGATTTTTATTTTTACTGGGTTTTTTTTTTTTAGCTGCAATACAGCTGGACCCTATGCTGCAGAAAGAGATAATGGATGAAATCTTGGCTCTCCTGAAGTCAGTCACAAAACTCACTGACTTCATTGGAGCCACGTTTTTATCAGCTGCTTCATAATACTTTGTATCAGCCATATGGAGGAGATTTAAAATTGGCTTTAGAAGAAATAGAAATTAGCTCCTCTACAAATTATTTGCATGGGTTATCTGGGGGGCTTTTCTCCAGGTAATATAAATGGCAACACAAAGTAAAAACTGCCAAAAAGACAAATAGGTATATAACATTTTGATTTCCTGTAGCTACAGCATAACTCAACTAAAATATTATGTTAAAATCAACAAGGTTGGATTATTCTATGTAAGACCACCAGGTCTGATGTAGATGAAGCAAGGGCATGGGAAGACATTCAAAGGCACAACAGGCTATTTACTGTTCATGACACGTTTTAGAAGATGTGAAACTGTGTGTCAATGACGCTGTAACACGAGAGGCAGTGAGTTAAGCAGGAGGGACAGTATTAATTCACAGCCCTCGCTTTTGTATATTTAGTGTTATTGAATTGTGCTTCCCCTTGATATTTTAAACAGATGCATCATAATGGACTTCTCAAAATCTGATTTAAACCATAACACCAGGAAGCACAATTTTGCTAAAAGGGGAGGGTGGGAAAAAGAAACTGCTGGACTCCCTGCCACTGCCACAGTTGTCTTTTCACAGACAGTTTTTTCTGATCCATTAGCCTGCCAGACAAGGATGGCACCTATCCAGTGTAAATATTACATTTTCAACATTTGGATGGCATTTTGAGCAATATTTCTTATCCCCTGAGAGTGTACACTTTATAAATACAATATTATCTGCAATTCAGAGCTAGGTTGTGGTAGGATATGACTTTATAATGCAAAGGATATTTAAAGAACACTGTGTATGGACTCACTTACTGAAGAATAAAACTTCTTCCTCTCAGTTATTTTAATTTACAGTGAAAATTACTTAAGCACAGCATCAAACATGCTTTTTTTTTTTCTGGAATAGGGAGGATCCAGACATGATTTTGGAGGAATAACTCCATGTGTAGACAAGATTGGTTGCTACTGTTCAGCATAATCTACACTGTGCATATCTTGAAGTAGAAAGCCACACTAGCATTTTTGGGAGCTAATGTCCTCATTGGACTAAACTCTTCACTGTGTATATTCCAGTAATATCCCACTAACTGTGCCAGATGCTGACAGAACTCCTCGTTGGAAATAATTATGAAAGTTAATCCATCCATTGCAAGCAGTGAATCTTCTTAGAGCAAGAACTTGTTCTAACATTCCCTCTCTGGTTTAAACCCTCTTTCTTGTCAAAGGGAAAATAGGCCATATTTAGATGGAGCCCCAGTACAATTTCTTTGTGTTTGTTTTTCTAAGTAAAAACAACATAGCTGGTTTGGATAGTCTTGTGTAGGGAAGGAGGAACCACACCCAGACACAGCAGTTCTATCACACGCTTAGGCTGAACTATTTGCCCTGAAATTTGTGTTTGCAATGAAAAACCTGACCCATCTTTAACTACAGAAGTATTGCTTAGGACTATTTTAATATACACCAGATACAGTCCATTAAACTGGAATAAATATAATCCTGATAATACTAGTTTCACATTTTTCTGCTTGTAGGTACTTTTCCATACTCATTTTCTGCTGTTTTGAAAGAATGTCCTTATTTCCTGACTTGGAAGTACAGAGCAATGCATTTGTCTCCTGTTCAGTTTCCCGCCTTCCCTTCAGTTTGTGGCTCATGACCCTTTGTGTCTTTGGCCTTATATTTACACACTTTCAATGAAATATTATGAGCTGCTGAGTGATTCTTATTTTCCAGTTGCTGCCTGCAGATACCAAACATGGAGGTCTGGTAGTACAGTAGAGGGCAGGTCATGGAGCCAAGTAAAGAGGAAGCCCCACACCCATCTGGCTACAACAGCAAACTGAAAAAGATATTACTGATTTTCATAATGAAAAGCTGGGTATGGAAACTCATGACTTTCACGTAGAAGTGCTTTACCATGGTCCTGAAGGAGAGACACATCAGTGTGACTGGCTGACTCTGGGCTTGTAATCAGAGCTGGGGAATCTCTGCTGGCGTGGCCGTGGCTTTCCAAGAGCCCGTGGAATGCCCTGTTGTGCCCCAGCACAGGCAGCCAGGGCACAGTTCTCTCTGGCAGAGAATCAGGTCTTACATTTCAGCCTTTGTTGCTGCAAAAATAACCTTGGAAATAAGAAGCCTGAGTAAACTAAGGAGCTGGCAGGAAGCTTGGGATAATAATTCCGAGAAGTGCGAATCGTGCCCATCAAATGTGATACCTTAGAGGCCTGATAACAATGCATTCAGAGCCAGGCAATATTAACTATTAGTGGCAAGTCCAATGGCAACACAAATAACTGGCTAGCCTGCTCATCCCAC